ACATTCTAACACCCCAACAAAGATTCAATCAGGCGGGCAACCTCCCTACCACACACGCCGCACACCACCCCGGCCCTACTAACACGCGGGCCTCACCATCCCACCCTACTAACACAAAAAGAAAAAACCTCGAACAAAGATTGGTTTATTTGGTTGGTCATACGTAAATATGGGGGAATAATCTTTTGTAAGATTTCCAGAGGAGTTCAACATTTCCCAAACACACGATTATTGAAGACTCTGACTAAAAGGAGCGGCCAGCCGTACCATATCTGCGCGTAGGATTGGTGCTGCCGAACTAAATTCGCGAAAAACCCGGCACAACTTCAACCGCCGCTACACGGAGGAGTACTCGATCGTACGCACACCCATGAAGGTCCGCGCGCTACTGCACCATTAGACACTGCAAAGTGAGAGAGGTTTTCATACCGTAAAACTGCAGTACATGTGACGCGGTGTACTCTTGAGAGTACCCTTACTTGCCTCCGGGGCGGAGGGTGCGACATAGGTCCCAACAAATAATATGTAGGTACTGCTACCTGCGGTTTGTACCAAGGACTGGGTTTGTTTGTACCTGCGGTTGCGGTTGTACTAAGCACGGACTGCGTTCTGCTTTGTACCTGTGGTTCCCAATGTTAGTCGATGGGGGAAAGTATTTCCGGGCCCAGGGACATCACGGACTGATACGGAAGTTGTAGTACCGCCGTTTGGACACTACAAATTGTGGGAACAGAGTCCAGAGCACTTCCTGGGGGCTTGGTCCATGTTTGTTGGCGTTGGCGTCCATGTTTGTTTGGGTCAGGAACACGTGATATTTGATGGCCGTATTTGTTTGGGTCAGGAACACGTTGGCATCCATGTTTGTTTGGGTCAGGAACATGTTGGCGTTGGCGTCCATGTTTGTTTGGGTCAGGAACACGTTGGCGTCCATGTTTGTTTGGGTCAGGAACATGTTGGCGTTGGCGTCCATGTCTGTTTGGGTCAGGAACACGTTGGCGTCCATGTTTGTTTGGATCAGGAACTTGTTGGCGTCCATGTTTGTTTGGGTCAGGAACACGTGATATTTGATGGCCGTATTTGTTTAGTTTTCTTCCATTAGACAACGTTAGTGTACGTTTGTTGTTTAGCTGCTAGCGTTAGCTCAGTAAAAGATAAATAAAATAGACCACGCCCCTTTAGGAGACAGGAAGTGTACATTTGATTCCATTGGCGCCAATTGTAGTGAGTGATCTCTAGTTATAAAATATCTTTGTTTTTATCCACTTCTTCTTTGTGATAACAAAGTGAGAGATGTGGAAGCTGGTTTGTTTTTACAGCTTCTTGGAAGTAAATCACATTTTTCACAGAACTGATGAAACTTTCCAAAACAAGCAGGACTCTTTTTGTTCTTCCAGAAATAGCTGTGAAGTGTTCTCAACGAAAACATAACGTGTGATTAAATGAGAGCTCAATAAAGTGTGTGTGATCTGAGGTGGAAACACAGCGGTCTCTGTTTCTCACACACACTTTGATATTGATTAGATTATAGTTCAGGATCTGATAGTTACTTTATCCACTACGTCTTCTTCTACTGTTAGTTTGTATATTCCTGTAGTGACTACAGGAATATACAAACTAACAGTAGAAGAAGACGTCAGATGTTCACTATCTCCTCTTTATGTCTCCTCTTCTCATTTCCTACTTTCCGTCCTTGTTTCCTAAAATCTTCTCTCCTCTTCTGTTTCCTATTTTTGTTCCCTCTCCTCTTTGTGTCCTTTTTCTTGTTTCCTTTTCTCATTTCACATTTTTTCTGTCCTTGTCTCCAATCCTTTTTTCATTTGTATTAGTCTCCTCATCTAATTTCCTTGCTTCTGTCCTTGGTCCCTTTCCTTTTTAAATCTCCCATTTTGCTTTCTCTCTTATATCCTTGCTCCCTCTCCTCTTCCTGTCTCCTTTCTCCCCTCTATCCTTGTTTCCTATGTCTTCATGTCTCCTTTTATACTTGTTAACTTCCTCTATTTGTTCCCTCTCCTCTTATCTACTTGTTTCCTTTGTCTTTTCCTTTGTTTCCTCTCCTATAATTTTCTCTTCTCTTCTGTTTCCTCTCCTCTTTATGTCTCCTCTATTTGTTCCCTCTCCTCTATCCTTGTTCCTCTCATTTTCTCATCTCCTCTATCTTTATTTCATCTCCTCTTTATCTCCTGTCCTTGTTTCCTCTCCCCTTTATGTCTGTTATTCCTGTTTCCTCCCGTCTGTCCTCGTTCCCTCTCCTCTTCTCTCCTTGTGTCCTTAGTCTTTATGTCTCCTCTCCTTGTTTCCTCTCTTCTTTATGTTTTCTCCTCATTGCCTCTTCTCTACTTAATAATAATAATAATAATAGCTTGGACCTTTCATGAGACCCAAGATCGCTTTACAAAGAAGAACAGGGCGAAACAAACAAACAAACACTAAAGGCAGTCAGAACAAAACAACAGATTAGGGGCCAAAGGCCTTAGCAAACAGGTGGGACTTGAGGGCGTAGAGCGTGGGGATGTTGCGGATCTCCGCAGGGAGAGCGTTCCTCTTCTCTCTTCATCTCCTCTCCTTGACTCACAAACGGTTTCAGATTTGCACATTTCTTAACAATAAGGCATTTGTGTTGCATTCATGTGGTATTGGAAAAAATGGGAGAAATGAGTTCCGGCTGGCAGAAACCAAACCGATATCAAAGGGAAGTTTAAACACTGCGCGTAAATCTGATCGCGCCATTACCCTGACATGGAGAGAGTCTTTAAAGCAGAGAGAAGGGATGATGCAGGAATGCTGCAGCATATCTCTGATTGAAAGCTTAATTAAATCAAAATGTGTCTGCATACTTTCCCATG